ACTGCGGGCACCACGAGGACGCTGGGGTCGTCTGCACAGGTAGGGGAGCAAAGCCCCATGGGAACAGCTGCCATCTTGGCTGACCCACCCGGGGCTGAGCCATGGCCCCTCTGGATGGGGTGCACATGGAGGGGGCGCATGTTGGCCCCTGTGGAGCGGGGGGCACGTGGACTGGCACAGCCACAGCCCTGGGGGGGGCACATGGACCAGCACGTTGGACCGGCACGTGGACTGGCACAGCCATGGCCCCTGTGGAGGGGGGGGCACGTGGACCAGCATGTTGCCTCCCTCCCCCATCCAGAGACAGCTCAGCACAAGCCTGGAAAAGCCCTTTTTTGGCCTCCCCCCAGGTGTGGCCTATTTAGCTATGCCTGGTCTCTCCTCAGCCCCCTGTTAGTGTCTACACTGACATTTCACACCCGTTCTAGTTCACTGGCTACGCCAACTTCCTAACTCCGCCCCCTCCCCTCAGGTAGACGTCGTTAGGTCGACAGTGTTGTGTGGGCACAGCCTGGCAATTCTAGCTGGCTCTCAGAAGCTGCCCCACGATGCCCTAACGGACAGTTCGGTCAGTGTGAGCACTCCTGGCCAGGCTGGGCACGGCCGACACAAGAAACAAAGTGTAGACGTGCAAGTGATATAATCACGGTGGTGGCTGTAGGCCTGTAAGTTTGGGTGACTTAATTGTGCAGTGCAGATGTGCCCTGAGGTGCTTCCGTGGCCCCCAAAGCTGCAGGATCTGATGGCTGAATAATCTCCCCCAGCACACCAGAGAGGCGGTGCAAAGCTGATATCCCATTATCAGGTAGAGAGAGGCTAAGTGACTTGCCCAAGGTCACACAGGGAGTTTGTAGCAGAAGAGGGATTTGAAAGTAGGGCTCACAAGGCCTAAACTAGTCCCCGAGCCACTGGACCATCCTTCCGCATTGCCAGCTAGGCTGAAACCTGGAGATGGAGAGGATGTAATGGCGAGAGAGGCTGCGGCTAGTCAGAGCAGCAATTTGCAGGGAAATGACTCTGGCTGCCTGTGATTTCCCGGCTCCGGTGGAAACCAAGCTGCCTTGGTCAGCAAGTGAGTGATTGGCTCTCGGCGGCTGGGCACCCAGCCATCCCCAGCCTCCCTCCCTTCCCCGCTTTCGATTGTCTTTCGGTCCTTGTCTGCTGACTCCCATTTATAATGTTAATAATCCCCTTGAATTCCCTCATTATCGCAGCTAATGCCTGGAGCCCTGCGTGCCCAGCGATTAACTAACAAAGAGGCTGCTGGGCGCAAAATGAGCAATTTTCCCAGGCGGTTCCTTTCTTGCCTAACCAGCCATTGTCCTGCGAGCCAGGGAGAAGGGAGCGCTGGGCTGGGCAGCCCCGTGGGCCGGCTCATTAGGACGGGGGCAGCCCCGTGGGTCGGCTGTTCCCAGTGGGGGCAGCAGCATGGGGGAGGCCCAGCTGGGAGAACCGAACCTCAAGGGGAGATGCTAATGAAGGCCAGATTGGCGGCAAGGCAGGGCAGAGTCCTGACCCACTGGCTGGAGCCCCACGACAGGACAGAACGGGCGGAGTGCTGTGGTGTCACTGTCACTATGCTCCAGTAGGGCTGCTGGGGGCACCCAGTCAAAAAGAACCCTGGCACTTTTGGTCAGCACCGGGCCGCTAAAAGTCTGGTGTGGGACCTCCAGAACAGAAGGCCTGCATCTCCAGCGTGGGCTAATGCACCAGACTGAGGACTAGCAGTAACACCCCCCAGACCCGGGGAGCTGGGTAACTGGGCATGGCAGAATTCCAGTGTTCTTTTTCTTACCATATCGACTCCTAATACGGAGGTTTGTTTTTAATATTTTAATTGAAATTTGCCCCAAACCCTGGCTTTTAAGCACTTCCTAAAATTTGTATCAATTTTTAATGTTCACAGTGGCAGGAAATTTAACCGGGACCAGGACGTTAACAGGGTTCAAAAAAGAGCTAGATACATTCATGGAGCACAGGCCCATCCATGGCTATTAGCCGGGACGGGCAGGAATGGTGTCCCCAGCCTCTGTTTATGAGAATCTGGGAATGAGCGACAGAGGAGGGATCACTTGACGATTCCCTGTTGTGTTGCCTCCCTTTGGGGCACCGGTATTGGCCACTGTCGGAAGATGGACCCTGTGCTAGCTGGACCTTTGGTCTGACCCAGTCTGGCCACTCTTACGTTCTTACGTTTAAATTGCTGGGGTCAGACAATAGGAGGGGGGCGAATAATTGTTTAATAATAGGAGGCGTTGAGATTCCAAAGGTTAAAAGCTTTTGAGCTGTTAGAACCCAAATTGTCAATATCACAGGTCAGCACAAACCAAGTAAATTGTCTTAAATCAAACTCCATCGAGCCCCCAGGTGGCTTTTCGGCATTATCCCACCCGGCACGCTTCGATGACTATTCAGCAGCTAGGGCGAGGGCAGCAAAATGGAGGGTTCGTGGCTTTCCCAATCAACATCGAATCCTTCGTGTTGCGCCTGCTGATCCCAGCTGGTGGTTACCAGGACGCGAAGCTCTGACCGTGCGTGGTCCCGGCACCAGCGGGGGTCTGAAGCAGAAGCTGCACGGAACGGCTGGAGGAGTGTGGATGACTGACACCTGTCTCTGTTCGGGCTCCCTTCTGGCTGCCCATCCTCTTGCAATGGCTTAGTGTGGACAAAACTATGGCCACTGGTCATGTGACCCCGCCCCTCCATGTGTCCCTGCAGGGCTGCGGGTTTCAACGCTCACACCGTTCACCACCTCAGCCGGCTGGGACTACGGAGACTCGCTCACTGACACTGCCACAGGTAGGCCAGTGCTGCCCGCAGGGCCCATCCCCCCAGCCGCAGGGCTCTTCTGATCAGGGCCGGACCGAGCCATTCCAGCACCCTGGGCAGACAGTTTAATTGCGCCCCGGGTTGGGGGAGGGCGCATACACGGCCCCGCTCCTGCGCTGGTGCTTGGGGGAGGGCGCATGGAGCTGGTGGCAGCAGGACGCATGTGCCCGGCCCAGCCCAGCCCAGCCCGGTTACTGCCGCTGGCGCGCAGCCCGGGGCTACCCGGCTGTGGTGGGGAGGGCGCTGCTGGCCAGAGCTATGGGGGTTAACGCGGCCCCCCCCCCGGGCTGGCGCGGGCCGGGGGG